GAAGGCACATTCGCTTGAGGTCCTGGGTGCCATGTGAAACATGTAAACGGTTGATTAAACGAAAATAGGCCCTCCTTCCTCTGCCTTAGACACTAAGCTGCCTTTTGTTTTCTCCTATTTTACTTTGATTGGAAGCATTTTAAAGTTCTTTAACCAGTTCTTTTTCCTAATATGGAAATACTTGTTTTTCTCTCGTTTTAAAAAGAAAGGACGGAGATTGAAAAGTTAAATCTTCCCTCCCTTCAACTAGCAAGTTGGCTTGGTTCTAATTGTAGTTACCATCTGGATTAGGTATTTTCACCTCTCCTATTAGAGCAGTGGTTCTCAACCTTCCTAATGCCGCGACCCTTTAATACAGTTCCTCATGTTGTGGTGACCCACAACCATAAAATTATTTTCATTGCTACTTCATAACTGTAATTTTGCTACTGTTATGAATCGTAATGTAAATATCTGATATGCAGGATGTATTTTCATTGTTACAAATTGAACATAATTAAAGCAGAGTGATTAATCACAAAAACAATATGTAATTATATATGTGTTTTCCGATGGTCTTAGGCGACCCCCGTGAAAGGGTCGTTCGACCCCCAAAGGGGTCGCAACCCACAGGTTGAGAACCGCTGTATTAGAGTTTCTAGATGCTGTGCATTCAGTTCCCCCAGCAGTTTCATCTCATAGAAGAGCAGCAGCTTTGGCTATATAATCTCCCCAAGGGAAGTGTCCACATCCGAGAACAGTATTGTAGATCCGGGGCACAGTTATTTGCCACAGATTCTCTCCGCATATTGTAATGTCCTTGTACTATGAGATTCTGCAGGATGTGGTTTCGGAGAGGGCCCTCTCCTTCTGGGCGCTTTTGTCTGGGCCTTAAGGAAATTGGCCCGTGCAGCTGGCGTTTCTGAAAGTGACTTATCACAATTACTGAGCAGTTCCATTTGGGTTGTGGATGGAATGTTGACAAATGGCAGCTTTAGCCTCTGGCAATTTAACACCCTAGCCTAGCTCAATCTCAAGGACCCTCTGACACTGAGTTTTACCTTCTTTTTATTTCATCCTAAAAATGATTCAGCTATTCAGCCCACCAACCCCCAAAATTATTTTCTTTAAAAGGGCAATAAAACAAGCTAATGAACCTATAGTAATGCCTTGAATTATAGGACTGTTGTACTGTGTTTCTGTGATAAACTTGTCCTGGGGAATCTGGCCACCACGGGTGCTGCAGAGAGGGAGGTGGTACACGTGCCTTTTCTCTCGGGTCCTCGCAGTCTGTTTTGCTAGCCAGTCAGTAAAGAACACTGTAACCTTTACAGTAGAGCTGTGCACAGAGCAAGGAGGAGGGCCATCTCATCCCTGCTCTACATATTGATTCGTTTGAAATGTAAAGTATTTTGTATTAATAGGGTGGAATCCCCATTTTATGTAATTCTTTCAGCAATTCCTTTTATAAAGCATAGTGCTTTTGTAAATACCTTCTTGATTTCTGTTGTAAATTTAGAGTTTCTTACAACAGGGCTCACCAATCATTTCTGCCCTTGAAGTAAGAGTAGTATTTGCAAGATGTCACAACGTTATAATATGCTTCACACAGTTAGTGTTTGTGTGAATTTAGAGCTAGGGTACCTGCCTTTCTGTCACTCCCTTCATGCAGCATCTGGCAACCAGGTGGTTTCCCCAGGATCATGGGTGGAAAACTCGATGTCCAGAAATGGGGACTCACCCCAAATCCTCTCGTGGAAGGAGAATAAAAGGAGGTAAATAACGCCAGTCTGCTTTTCTCAAAAAAAGTTTTCATCTGTGCCTGGAGCATTCTTACGAACACTGATTTGGCACCAATATATTTAAATCCTCAGCTTTATATTTAGCAAACCTTAAATAAATTCATTAGGTCATGTTCAAGAGAGCCTTAAAGAGCAAATCATGAATAAAAAATAGCCACTTCTAGAAGTTTTCCTTTCTTTAATGTCATTTGTTAAAGCCACAGTTATGATAGGTGCTCTCTGTAAAAGGTCAATTAGCAGATTACTCAGGATATTTAAAGTTTTGTGTTAACCTTCTAAATGTCAAGTCGAAGTTAGAAATGTTGATACATTTGGGAGAATTTTGCCATAAAATCCTCTATATGATGAAAAAAACACACACACACAATTCTAGGTCACAGATAAGGGTTGGCACACCACTTCCCAAACAGTGGTCCACTCCCTGGATTGCCAAGGATTTGAACACTTTTTAATATATGACCTCTTCATTGAGCGACCTCTATGAACGAGAATGGAGGGATAGTGTGGAGTAGTAGGAAAGACAGTTTTTCACACTTTTCTAATATGGGAAAGGCTTGATCCTGCACATAAACTCCGGGGTAAGTCCTGGGAGAGGTTTGAAAGTAGAAAGAGAAGAAGATAACCAGTGGTACAAGGCATTGGTCCTGGTGAGGCCCAGAGGGATGATCCTTGAATACCCTTTTCAGAGCCTGGAGGAAAAGAGGTGATTGTAAATGATCTTTGTTCATGTCTAAGTTGAAAGTTGAGAAAATTCAGTCCCTTCAGTTTTCACTGTGAAGTAAGACAAGGAACTACTGACCTGCTTGTTGTGAGATTCTTCAGCTGAATCTGGGTGTGTGGGGGCTAGGCTTCGGGCTAGAGAGGTGTGATGGAGAAATAAATGGTCAGCGAAAGTCAGGAGGCTGAAATGATGGGCCATGGTCGACAAGCTGGATAGGATGGAACTAAAGAAAGGAACAAGCTAGTGAGTGAATAGGGAGCAAGTAGAGGGGCCGATTAACTGGAGGTCACTGGGAGGGCTAATACAAATCGGCTCCGCCAGCGCGGGGGATCTGCTTTGTTCACAAATGTGTCCCAGCCCCTGCAATCGTGCCCGGCACATAGGGAGTGTAAAATGTTTGTATTTGTTGAACGAATGATGGCGACAGAGCAGGGATTATTTACTACACAGGCTGGGAAAGGGAGGTGTGGTCAGGGTTGGATGCTTGAAAGAGTGATGGAGGAGGCAGAGCATTATGGATAACACCCCATCTGTCTGACCCGTATATGTGTTATGTTCTCGGTAACTATCAGCTTTTATCCTTGAGTTTTCTGGCCTTTTATGGGAATCACTGGTTTTTAAAGAAATAAAGTAGAGTCATTTCTCTACAAATGTTTGAGTTGACCTTTCTCCATTAGTACCGTTAAAGCCATCGGAAGAATCAGGGTTGTTAGAGTCCACTTCATGTGGGCAGAAAAAACAAACAACAGGCTCGTAAGAAGTATCTTCCTTCCAGATTAGCCTGGTGTACTTCTCAAAGCCAAAAGCTCAGCCGGGAATGCCTTCTATCGCTTTGCTGCTTTTGCTCATCACAGAGGTGGACTGTCTCATGTTCACAGTGCTGTATCGCCTCTGTAACGCACATTGACCTTTCAGGGGGCTTTTGCAAGGCCTCCTTTTTGCTTTTAGGATCAGGCTGAAGTCACATATAAACATAGGAATAGCTGTTTGCAAAGGAGTTCACAGAAAGAGGCTGAAATGATGATCATCTCATTTTAAAGCAATGCCAGGATTTACCCATTTAGCTAAATGAATCAAAGCAGTCTTTTGAGTCAGGATTCACATCTTTTCCCAACAACTTAAGAGTAGTTCTTACCCTGTTTCTCCCCCACACTCTTGTATGATTACTTGTCCGCAGGAGATATTTAGAAGTCTGTACTGACTGATCTCCAGTTGTAAAATAAGCAGGTCTCTGAAGTGCTCTTCCCTTCACCTCATAAATTTTTCTTATGATCCAATTCAAACATCACCTCTGAAGTTCCCCCCAGGGCTCCCAGGTGAATGATCACGCCGCTGTCCTTGGAGCCGTGCATAACTCAGTTCTCTCGGACTGCCATGCTTTACTTGGATACTGTTTCTCATCCTCGCCTGTCATGCACCCAGGAGCAAGGACTTTGTCTATTTCCTATCTCCAGTGCCTTGCGTGTGCCTGCCATGTCTGAGGCGCCAGAGTTGTCTGACAGATGAGTGCGACAGCAAGAAAACTCATTCTCCAAGCACACCGTGGTAGGCTTAGGCTGGAACACCCTGCCCTCTCAAGCATTTCCCTGGATAGAATTTTCATGTAGTTAGGATACTGCTGTTAGGTGAGCAATGATTGATTGATTATGGCTCTGTGATCCAACCAATAGATGTGATTAACCTAGAGAAGAGTTAGCCTTTTTTTCTACACCAACTTCTTCTTTTTTAAAATATATTTTTGTTGATTTCAGAGAGGAAAGGAGAGGGGGGTAGAGAGAGAAAAACATCAAGGATGAGAAAGAATCATTGATTGGCTGCCTCCTGCATGCCCCCTACTAGGGATCGAGCCAGCAACCTGGGCATGTGCCCTCACCAGGAATTGAACCATGACCTCCTGGTTCATAAGTCAATGCTCAACCACTGAGCCACACTGGCCAGGCTATCTTCAGAAAAAAATCACTTCTACTGCCATGGTAAACAACCTGCTTCCCTGTTTATAATGGTTTGGCCCTCTAGCAACTTCAGCAGGAAATTATAGCTAATTTGTCTACAAACCTCAGGTGGTCATAATAATCTGGCCACTCAGTATATATTGGAAAAACATATTTTCCATTTTAAAAAAATGTGTTACATGATGGAAACAAGAGAAATAAATGCTTTAATATAATTTGGAACCAGTTGGCCTGGATCAGGATGGGCCAGCCCATACTTTGGTAACAAATCTCAGTGGCTTAGAAAAGCATAGTTTATTTGCTGCAGGTTGACAGGTTCTTCTACATCCAGTGTCTCAGATCCAAGCCTCTTCCATCTCAAAGTAGGTTCCGAAGGTGCTGCAGGAGGTGGGGGGAGGTGGGAGAGGCCTTCCAGCTCTCACCGGCCTCATCACGTGTCACTTCGCCAAAACCAGTCTGATGGACCCACGCTTACAGCAGAGTGGAAAATGCGGGGGAGCACCAGTTGTCTCTGCTAACACGAGTGTAACTCTTTTCGTTTTACAGTTACTGTAATGAGTGTATGTTGGACCCAGATTGCGGATTCTGCTACAAGATGAACAAATCCACCATCATTGACTCCTCCTGTGTTCCAGTTAATAAAGCATCTACAAGTGAAGCAGCCTGGGGCAGGTATGTCACTCACCGCATACTGTGAGAATATACAGTAAAATTTCACAAGGAGGCTTATTTTTAAGCTTACAGAGTGACTACACTTACCTTCGAGAACTGCATTTCTGTTAAGCTGGTCTTTTTTCTAAACGGTCTTTCAAACATCTTTATAACTACAGAGCGTCCCCCAAAAATGTATACACACTGGAAATGATTATAAAGTCAGTACAGTTCATTTTCAAAATTTAAAAGAATTTACAGGAATCAATACTTTTTTTTGTCAATGCCCGTTTTCAAACTGATGACTGTTCTGGTCCAGGCACTGCTGATAACACGAAGCCATGGAATGGCAAACATCAAGAATCATTGCATTTGGTATTTGTGTGCCCTCAGTTCGCCAACTGTTGTGGTTTTGTACTGTAAACTTTTTCTATTATGTGTCCCCATACAAAAAGTAAAGCTTAGTGGCACTTTAGGATAAATTTACTGTGTTCAAAGCTTAGTTTGGCTTCATCCATTATTTCAAATCAGTTAAACCTGAAAAGGAGTGAAAATTAAGGGAGTTAGCTGCTAAAGGATGTGTACATTTTGGGGGACACCCTGTATATTACTTTGCAGCATATACTCATGAGCGTGGGTGTAAAACATCGCAGCAGTATGTTTCCCAGACTTGGAGTGGAAAGCACTCCCACCTGGACGTCAGGAACCCGGATCCCAGACCCACCTCTGCCCTGCACGGTCAGAGTTCGGACCTTGAGGCAGGGGATCCTGTATGTTGCCAGGGCAGTTTTTCCCATTGCATATTTTTTAACTACACCAATAATTTTCAGACTCCCAAACTTAAGTGAAAGACAGAAGATTGTCAAATCAAAATGAATTAATATCACTTTAAATTCTTTCACAGAACTCTTATTATCTTAGAGAACTTTCTTGGAGTTTAATGAAATTTAGCAAAATTAGGATAAAAGTTGGTGGTCACTGGCATGTAACCGGTCTGGGAAGGTATAAATCTTTCTCTTTCTTTTTTTTAAAAAATATGTTTTTATTGATTTCAGAGAGAGGAGGATAAATGGAGAGAGAGATACAAACATCAGTGATGAGAGAGAATCATCGATCGGCTGTCTGCTGTACGCCCCCTACTGGGGATCGAGCTCACAACCCAGGCAAGAGCCTTGACCAGGAATCAAACTGTGACCTCAGTTCTTGGGTCAATGCTAAACCACTGAGCCACACAGGCCAAGCTAAATATTTCTCTTTTTGACAGATCACATTGGTTTGTAGTAGGCAAATAGATGAAATGTTTGTATACAACAAATAATCCCCACATTAATGAACTAATATTCACATCCATGGTCGTAGAAAGCATATAAATATTCTTCAACATGGCTTTAACCTATTTTGTGTTTTAAATTGCGGTAAAGAGAATAATATGCTCTCATCCTGTCTGCTTCATAGTACTGATGAAGGTAATGAAATCTGTAATGAAGTACTTGTATCTCCTAGGAGCTATAAAGTACAATGTGTCATTATTAATCATTATACTGTTACCATTAATTGTTTTATAAGAGAAGTACTCCAAGAAGTAGAAGTGAATTACATGGCAGTGAATGAAAATCCAGACCAAATTTTAAATACACTATTACAAAGAAATATATAAAAAAAATTCAATTATTACTTAAAATCAAAGCTTTAAAAGAGCTCCTTTTAGAAACACTGAGCGTATAATTTGCATCAGCCAAGTTTCATTAGGGAGTTAATTGAGTGAATATTTCTGGGTGTAATAGTTTATAATTTTAACCCTATGATTCTTTTTCAGTAGAAAAAACCTGAAAGTTACTAGTCTAGAATTCCAGCCATATTATGAAATCTGTGCATGTAGTTTCCTATATTTCATAGAATTCACTTCTAAACTTAGAGAAATGTTGACTAATGAAAGGAAACACTAAAATTAGACATTTCTCTTACTCTCAGAAGGTCTAGCGGTCAGAACCTTTAAAATAGGTTGTTATTTTTTGCAAATAACAAAGTATATAATGCTTTAATAGAAATACATATTGTTTTGTTTCGATGTCTCCTTAACATTTTATTTATATTTTGAACTATTATTCCTTGACTGCACACACTACTAGTGAAAAGTGAGGCACAGATAATACCTAAGAAGGAAAAATACAAAGAACTAAATGCAATATATAAAGAACTTTTATGTTTATAGAATCATCTTAGAAAAATCTCAAATTCTTTACTACAAAAAAAAATAGGTTGTCTGTGCTAGAAAGAAAGTAAAAAGGTAGGATATGTTTACTATGAAAAAATACAGAATATCCATTTGTAGTTAAATAGCATTTACTATATTTTCGTTTATTAGTTGGTTGATGAGTTTTATGCAAGTACCTAGAATGGAATTCTCAGGGAAAAATCTACCATTACCTTGGATTTACATCTGAAATATGTGATTTATAGATATTTCAGGGTCAAGTATTAAGGCAGTTCATAGTCACATGGCCTGATGTGTAACTGTAGCTGTTTCCTGGAAAGACACCAGGTGGAATGGTAAATTTATGATGGAAATGATCTGATGATTTTTATAAACTGAATTGTTTTAACATAATGAAAACCATTTGCCCATGTAATCAATTATATCTATGTTGTTGCATTTCAGTAAATTTTTTAAAAATAATTTAACTCTCCAAAGAAGATATACAAATGGTCAACAAGCACATATAAAACTACTCAACATTGCTAATCATTAGGGAAATGCAAATTGAAACTACAATGAGATAACATCTCATACCCATTAGGATGGCTGCTGTCACAAAAAATAACATAAAATGGCAACGGTGGAGGATGTAGACAAATTAGAAAGTCTGTATACTGTTGATAGGATTATAAAATGGTGCAGCCACTACAGTAAACAGGATGGCAGTTTCATAAAATTTTACAATTGGATTACATATCACCCAACAATTCCATTTCTGGGTGAATATCCACAAGAATGGAAAACAAGGTTTTAAAGAGACATTTGAATACCCATGTTCACAGCAACACTATTGACAATAGCCGAAAACTAGAAGCAACCCTAGTGTTACTCAGTGGATGAATGGATAAGCAAAATGTGGTATTACATATAATGACATATTCGGACTTAAAGGAGATAAATTCTGGCACATACTACACCATGGGGGAACCTTGAAGATAAAATGGTAAGTAAAATAAGCCAGTTACAAACTGACAGATACCCTGTGACTCCACTAACATGAGGCGCCTAGAGTAGTCAGATTTACAGAGGCGGAAAGAAGAAGGGCGCCGGGGTTAGGGGACAGTAGGGAGTTGTTTAATGGGTATGGAGTTTGTTTTGCAAAATGAAATTAGTTTCAGAGATTGCTCGTCATTGTGAATATACTTAACACTATTGAACTGTACAATTAAAACCTTTAAATGGTGAGTTAGGATGGTAAATTTTGTGTTCTATGTATTTCACCACAATTAAAAATAAAAAGGGAAGCCGATTTAAAAATCATCTGGCATACTTCCAGAAGATACAGCACGGTGAGCTGATGGAAAATCACTCCTTCCCAGCACCCCTGCATGTCCCGAATGCATCCCACACGTGCAGATACAGGTTTAGTTGGGAAATTAGAAAGAAACTTTAATGGGTTAAGAAATCATAATAAACAGAACATTAAAATCAATAACTGAAAAGAATCACACAAAGTTAGAACTAGATCTGAGTTGGCCTGTAGAGTAAGCAGAGAATGGAAATTAAAATGAGGAAAAAATAATGCAGAGCAAAGAAATACTAAAGAGAATCAAGAAAACAAAAGTTGTTTCCTAGAGAAGATCGATATAATGGAGAAATCTCTGATGGTACTCTTTTAAGAAGAGAGAGAAGGCACAGATAAACAGTATTTAGAATGGAAGAAAAGCATGTAAGGCAGTGGTTCTCAACCTTCCTAATGCCGCAACCCTTTAATACAGTTCCTCATGTTGTGGTGACCCCCAACCATAAAATTATTTTCGTTGCTACTTCATAACTGTAATTTTGCTACTGTTATGAATCGTAATGTAAATATCTGATATGCAGGATGTATTTTCATTGTTACAAATTGAACATAATTAAAGCAGAGTGATTAATCACAAAAACAATATGTAATTATATATGTGTTTTCCGATGGTCTTAGGCGACCCCTGTGAAAGGGCCGTTCGACCCGACCCCATGGTTTCGACCCACAGGTTGAGAACCGCTGATGTAAGGTCAGATAGTAAAGATTTTAAAAATAATAAGAGGATAATATTAATAATGTTGTCCAATGTATTTGAAAACAGATAAAATGGACAATTTTCTAGAAAAAAATATAACTTTCTAAAACTAATTCAGCACCTCTGTGAAGTATGATTTTCATCACCACTATACAGATAAAGACAGCGATGCATAGAGGATCCGAATGACTTTCTCAAATTCAAAAAGCCAGTAAGTCCACCAGTTTTAGGGGAACAACAGTTGGGTAACAGAAAGGTATACATTTTAGAATCAGGTCATTTCAAATTTGAACTTTCATTTATCTTGTAAGTGGCGCTAGGACAAGAGCCTCTCTGAGCCCCATTCCTCATCTGTAAAATGGCAATGATGTTATTGCTGTATTGAACAGTATTTTTTATCAAGATTAGATAAGAATGTATCTTAAGACTCTTGTAAAAATGTAATGCCCTGGGAAAATGGACACACAACATATCCTGTAGGAAAATCTGTGCTTTTCTTAGATTTGTCAACAACACATTTCCTAGATTAGAATAAGCACTTCCTGCCAGACAAGTGCGTTAGAATACGTTCTCCTTATCTGTCTTTTCACCCACCTCCACATCGTCCGTATGGCTCTCTATACACACAGACTCATAAATAATCTATTCTGGAACGTCAAACATCCTGACTCTTTAAAAGTACTGCTAATGAGGGCTACTTTCTTAATGTGCTGATTCAGTATTTGTTTCCTATAATGCAACATTTGTGCTCTGTAATTAGACTC